AAAAAGAAGGAGAAAGAGGGAGGAAGAGAGTTGTCGCGGAGAAGTGCCGATCGTTAACGGCGTCGACAAAAACGACTTGACATAATTTTTTTGAAGGCGACGTGCGTGGGCCACTTTGTGCCATGAGGAGCTTAAGGAAAGGCGCGCAACCCAATTTCGGTCTCTGAAAGAAAAAAAAAAAATCCACTCCGAGACCCGCTCGAGTAGACGTCACTCGCATTCGCGCCAGCCGAGAAAAGCTTCGAAGAGGCATTCGAGAATGTTGAGATGGCAACGAAAGCGCGGCCGCCTCACGCGCAGATGGAAATAGCAAATCGTATAAAAAATTCACCACTTCGGGCCGAGGGTTAAGGTCGAACGAGACGCGCGAATATTGTACAAGAGAGTTAACTTTGGAGTAAAGCGCTATTGGAGCCGACGTTTCTTATTCGTACCGCGTATTCGTTTCAGTTTGTGTAGCCAACGATATATTTATTAGACATGTGAATTCAAAAGGGACTGCAAGGACGAGTACGATCAATGATCTACGTGAAATATACGTAACATGAAAATTTAAAAAAGTCTTCTGAGATTATAATGTGACAAAGCTACAGTTTATTGAAAAAGTTTTCTTGAACAATTTTTTGTAATCAATGATATTTTTCTTTTTTGACTATCATAAATAAGTGTATAATATTGAAAAAAAAATATGCTTTCTTCGATTTCCACTTTTGTCTTACTAATTGAATATTGTATCTTCATTTTACGAGCTTTTTAATATTGTATTTTCTTGAGGGATACGTAGTCAGTTTGTTTTGTGACACAAACATCTTATTATTCTTAAGTGAACTTTACATTTAAAAAATTTCCATGTTTTCCGAGAAGTAAGCAGTACGGATGTGTAATGATGCACTTGATTTAAACTCGACCCTCTTCAAATACTACTTAAATTACCGTGCGAGAAGTCTGTGCGTCGCTGTTCAAGAATTTCTATTAATGCCATCCGTACATCTCCGTTTTACAGGCCATTGCGGATGAAGTGCACGCGCCGTATTTGAGACATGCCACATAGTCTGCTATCTTAGTACCAGACTATGTAATTTTCTGAGTACAGAACGCGCAATGTAATTCCCGTTCGCGTGAAATTGGAAAATCTTCTGTTCTGTCAGTGAGAGAGAAGGGAGAGAGAGAGAGGGAAAAAGAAAGAAAGAGAGAGAGAGAGAGAGGGAGAGAGAGAGTCTATTGGTGGAAGTGTAGCGACCAGACGATAGACTCGGGGAAGACTCTGGTAGACCTTGAACAGCCCTTTAACTAGCTGCATTGCAGCCAAGGTTACTTTCCTTCTCTTTCCGTGACGTGGAACGGTGCTTCTAGAAGGGAGCGAATGAATAGAACCGTGAATTCGCTACTTTGCCAAGGTCGTCTTTGCTCAGCAGCTAAAAGTGCATTCTGGTGTATTATAGCAAATATGTTTCTTTATCGATTCTTCTTGTGACTAAAATATTGAATAAATATTTGCATATGATGTATATAATAAAATACAAAAGCTTATGTTAATTAATTCTCTCACGCGCGCGTTTGGATTTTAATAATATCATTTCAATAATATGAAAAAAAGATATGCAGGTAAAAGTCACAAAAATCTTAATGATCTTTAAGAAATAATATTTTATCGATCATGTTATTATAAGTGGTCAAACCGGTACGCAATTATCATACAATTTATCATAAAAAAAGTAGCGGATACGTTGGATAAGTTCGCTCATTTAGTGATAAATTATAGGCAATGTCAAAATCCTGATGAGTAGTTTGATAAATTATTAATGAATGCGATCGGTGTGCAAACGAGAATCGATGATTGCTGCGTTGTTGAAGCGAAGAGATATGGCGATACTATAGACTATAGAGCTATGTAAAATTGCGCTCGCTTTTCACGACTAAATAACAGTCGGGAGATACAATCCGACCGTCCCTACAAATGCAATCGTGGCCATCGGCCGTAGGTAGCATTCCTTATCATTACATTTCATAAACATTATCCACGGTTCCATCGAGAATGATTCCACGACACGGCTAGAAGAAACGGAGAAGAGGTAGCATATCTCGATTCAGAATAAGGAAAGCCGCCTCGAGAGGAAGAAAGAGAGAAAGATAAGGAGAGAGAGACCAAGTGATGGGTGGTGGAGAAGGCGGGAGTGGGCGATCGAAGGAGCAATCGAGAGAGAGAAGGAGAGACTATTCTGGAAACGACATGAGAAAGAACGAGAGAGATACAGAGAGAAGAAATGAAATTTCGGAACTAGCTGTTAATGTATCATACGAAGGAGACAAAAGGCAATCAAGAGCCAGCGCGATAATTTGTGCGCATATATTTTATTAGAATCAAATTACATTGATATTTTAATTAAATGATAGACACAATTATAAAAAAAAGTACGTTTTGGTCCTTTTTTTGAACCATCTTCAGCGCAATTACAAAGTATATAGAATATATTATATCAAAAATGTAATAATAATAATATGCAGAACAAAAGTGAGTCACCCATGTTGTCAGAAGGCAAATGTTACACACGGATGTTCGAGACAGAATGTCAAGTCTCTTCATATTGCACGGTACATAAAGTAAATATGAGCCGTTAATGATCAACGGGATTTTAAATTTCGCTCCTTGAATAGCTTATTATCGGTTTGTCTCGATCTTGCGCCTGCACATGCATTATATATATATATTTATGTTACGTCGCCTCATAGAGCGTTTTATAAGAAATTTAATAGGCTGTGAAATAGATTTTGGGTCGAAAATTTAATAATTACAGCTCCGATTCGCGATATTTCTGTGTATAATATTTGTTACCAGATTTTAGATATTTGATATTATATTACACCCACGGAATAATAAAAAAAAAACTCTTACTTCATAATATTAATTATATCTTATTTAATTTCTGACACGTATATTTAATTTAATTTATTAAAAAGACAGCTATTTTGCAAGTCTTTCTCTATTTCTCGAGTGTAAACTCTTCATATGATTTTTCTATTCATAAATTATACATTCCTTTTGGTATACATATATTGTATAGCCTAACACACTAGCGTAGCAAGCGCATCTCGTCGCAATAATTCTGCAATAAACGCGAGAGATCTGGGATATCTGGGATGCAATCAACCCGTTGGGCTATTTATTTATCTTTCCCGTTTCCTCCCGTTCTGCTGCGTTACTAATTGTCCGTGATTGCGATAAAGTATCGATACATCAAAAGCATACCTATCTATACGCACGCATACCGGCGATTGTACTGGCGAGAGCCCCTTTTCACCCGGGATATTATCGTTCGGTCTGTGGTTTGCGCGGATTCTCGTATTGTTGCCATTACCTCTCGATTCTAATACGCTCGTAGATAAATCTGATTTGTCGCTCGTGACGTTTCTCTTACGTATCGTATCGCGCATAGTTTACAGGGCGAAAAAAGAGGGGGTTTGTTTGCGTCTATCACCTCGGCTTCGGGGGAGAGAACTAAATTACGAGCTTGTCGGCTGCTATGTTAGCTCGCAAGCAACCATCGGTATTAAACCGAACAGTGCATTCGGTGCGTCCGGCGAATACGTATACGATCGCTTTCGAGAGGATCGGTCGAACGCGATTCGACGGTAGACAACGCCCGGAGCACCTCGATGGGTCTGTTGGGCATGCGGAGATTGTACACAGGGGTTGCACGTTGCTGTACGCGGGGTTGGTTTAACACGGGGATGGGTAATGGCAGTTCCTATCAGCCCTATACACTCTGTCCCGCTCGCCACCTCTCTCTTGCCGATGTCACTCTGTCTCCCTTCTCAGTTATCTCCGACCCTCTTCCTTCCTTTCTGTCGTTGAATTTGAATCTCTCATTATTCTCGGGAAACATCTCGTCATTCGCAGTTAGAACATCATGAACATAATTCATGATATATTCTTTCGTTGTATCTTTACCGAAGTAATGTATATTCATTTATTCTGTGTGACACCAATAGATTATTGATTTTAGTATGTGATATCTTTGTAGCTGAAGAAGACTTATATGCATTATTATTAAATATTCATAAACTTTAAAATATTAAAAAAATAATATTTATGTCTATCAATGATTGAGAAAAAAAAATATATAAAGATATTGTTCGAATTTTATCATATCATGAAAATTGTTTTATTTGTTATTCGAATATAAAATTTAGAGATGGTAAAATACAGAACTGTAAAAAATTTTGTACGCGATAAAAAAGAGTTCTATTTAATCGTGCTAGTTTATCTTCTTCTTTTGTTAAATAATATTTGTCTACATCTTGAATAATTTTTCTATTGTCTCTAGTTTCTTCTTGTTTTTCATATCTGCCGTTTCTTATCTCTTTTCTTGTCAATGGCAGCTGAACTTTTAGCACACAGCGTTAGGAACAATGATATCCCGATAAGTTATGTTTAAACTGAACTGCACAGCCAGCGACCACTTTGCATATTAGATACTCGCACAACTCGCACTTTAGTGGTCTTCGACGAATATTCCGCAGTCGGCCGCTGCAGTTGACCACTGGAAATAGCCTTTATTCCGGAATTTCATTATTCCCAGATCGCCTCTGTCAGCGTCCGATATTTCGATCTACAGTCCTGTTCAGAGAGGAATTCAAAAATTCTGCCAATTCCAAGATATTTCCATCCACCTACCTAAGTAATTTCATCGGCTTCCACAAATTCCCGGTCTTTTACAAATTAATATTTTTTATCAAGGATTCTCTTATTTCTATAATTTGTTATATCGTAGTTAAAAACATTGTACCTCATTTTTCCTTTTACAATTTAAAAACAAAATATACATATATATATACAGGGTGTCATTTTAATCAACGCACGCAAATATCTCGTAAAGTAAACAAGATGGAAAAAAATGTTCTATACAAAAGTTGTATGGTTCAGAGGGGGACACATGATGAAAATATGGACTTGACCTTGAGTGACCTTTTCAAGGCCAAGTCAATGTGATCAATATTTTCTTAAATGGAACATAGATATCAACTTCATTGGCCTAGCACGTTTAACTCAGGTACTCTAAGCATCACAAATGTCAAAAGGTAAGAGAAACCTATGATATAATGAAACAATGCTCTTTTACTTTCTCCATAATAGGTATTTCTACCCTTGGTCAGGAGGTCGAAGGGTCGAATTGTTCTTGTTAGCAGCCTCTTGGCACGGATACCGAGCCCTGTTCGAGGCATTTATTGCGCGCTTAAGGTAAATTTTCTTTGTCGATTATGTCGTACCTTATCTATTTGTATAATCATGAAACTAAAAGTATTAATAAAGCTTGTGAGTAGCTTCATAGAAGATTATAAATATATCTTAGGCCGCTATAGAAGCTTGGGGCTCTTGCTTAAGATTGGAGATGCGGAGATGGGGTGTGGATGTTGTAATTGTCGAAACTGGAGAATACGTGTCTGGTAATGCATGGCTAAAGGACAATACTGCATTGTTAGAGCAGGCTAGAGATATGTGGACTCAATTGGATCCCCAAACTCGTAAGGAATATGGTCAAGAGTTGTTTCAGGCGGAAATGTTGGCTTTAGAAAAGTACACTCAGGGACCAGAAGCAGATTTAACCGCTGTTACGAGAACCCTAACGGATGCTGTGGTAAAGACTTTCCCGATGCGACGGTATACACCTGTAACGCGCAGTGAAAGAATGCAAGCATTGTGTAATCATTATCTGCCAAAACCAATTTATGACATATTGTATGAAAATTAAATATATCTCCTGCGCAATATATATATATATATATATATTGACAAATAAATTAATAAAATTGCTAGAGAAAGAAAAATGTCGATAAAAAATATTTTTCAGCAAAATTTATCATGAAAATATGACTAATAAGAGATATATGCAACATTATAAAAATTGTAAAATAATTGAAAAAAAATTAAACTTGTGATAACAATAAAACAGGAAATTCTACGGATAAATAGGCAGAAAAATTTTATATTGGTCGGTGTGGAATCCGATCTAAATTAATCTAATTGTAAGATAGTGACCGATAACCGATACTTCAATTGCGATAAAACCTTTGTTTTTCTCCTCAGGTCTGATAACAAATATCTCCATACATCGTCATTGTTACAACGAACAGTCGTTCTTCGACAACGAGTAAATCTTTGTGAATAGTGAAAAACAATGCGGTTCGCGTTGCTGTCAGTGTTTCTGGCGTTTTTATGTTTCGCCCATGGTAAGTATTTTGTGAATCGCAAGAAAGCAACGTTTCTGATTATTCCTGTTTGTTTTTGAAAACCAATGAGATTTTGCTGTGGACAACGAGAGACATTTTAATATGCTATACATTAATATGCGTAATCGAATCAATATGCGCGGAGTACTGCGCAACGGGAACGAGATTGATAGGGCATTAATCACGCTTGGATAAAATTGCAACGGTTAATTAATTTTTCATTTAACTCGCCGATAATTATCGTCGACCGTATACTCCGGAATAATAGTTTTTACGCCCGCGGCAAGTAATGCATTAAATAATTCATGCATCGCAATATAAATAATACGAAATTGTTATGAATCCCGTTCTCTATCAATAAATCCTTTTGCCGTCGTGAAATTTAGATTTTGCAACACACACAGCACGATGCAATACGCATCGTCAACGATAATAATAATTTGTGCATCAGGCTCGACAAGTTTTGTGGAAATTCCTATCAATCGTAATATGGAGTCGAAGAATTTTGGTTTAACTGGTCGTATAATTAATGGAACGAAAGCAACTTTGAAACAATTTCCCCATCAGGTAATATCTACCTACGTTTTTAATTTAACGTGAATCTAAGAGGTAAACGTGTTCTTTTCAGGTTTCTCTGATGCGCAGCTGGTCCCAAAGCCATTTCTGTGGCGGAAACATCATTAGCGACAAACTAATACTTACTGCAGCGCACTGTATGTATCTGTATGTATAATCCGACGACAGACATTCTATATATATACTCTTATAGATCATTATATTATTTTGAAACTGTTAACTTTGCGTTTTTTTCGTTTTCTTTCTATAACTTCATGCAATATAGAAAATACAAAATTTTGTGACAAATTAATGATAAGTAATTTGATATATCTTAATCCATATTTTTTTAATTGGTACATTATTCTTATAGCAAAATATAGCGAATAATTAATAAATCTATTCATGTACATTAGTATATGCGCTTGAAAAGAGTATGTAGTATTAATCAGAGATTAATGAGATTAAAGTAAAGTAATTAATTATGTAGCAATAACAACGTTATTCACCCATGGACGATTATTGTGGTCGGAGGAATGCTAAAGCTAAATGAGAGAACTTCGACGAGACAGGAAAGAGGTGTGGAAACACTTAGAATTCACCCGCAGTTTGATATGAAGAATTTGTACAACGATGTTGCCGTTTTACAAGTACGATTATGTTACATTGTTTTACAAACCGGCCGTTATTTAGTGTTCTCGTGATTTTTAAAATAAAGATAATCCATGTTTGATTTTTATAGCTATCGATACCCTTTGCCCTCACTCCGGAAGTTCATAATGTTGCTTTGTCAGGAAATCCCCCTGTACCCAAAACTATCTGTCAAGTGTCAGGATGGGGTTATACAGCGGAGGTGAGTATATACATTTATACATAGAATTCTTTAATTGCAGAACATTTCTTTTTAATTAGAGAAAATATTTCAGGATGTTTCGATAGTGTCTAATGATTTGATGTATGTAAATCTGCCCATTCGATCAACAAAAGAATGTCGTGAACTACTTGTGAACGTAACGGATTTGCCAGCGGGGATGTTTTGCGCCGGCTACCTGAAAGGAGGAAAAGACTCTTGTCAAGTAACGCGAATTTTCTTATTTATAATCTACGTAATTTGTAAATTATCTTATTATACAATTTGTTTCTTTCGAATGTTGTAGGGTGATTCTGGCGGTGGAATGGTTTGCAACGGTATTTTAACCGGTATCGTCTCTGGCGGCGAAGGTTGCGCGCTTCCACGGTTGCCTGGAGTATATGCAGATATCTCTCACTATATAGATTGGATAGTAGAGGACAAACATGTAATAATTGTGAAAAACTTGAATATTATTAATTGTAATCATAGTACACATAAAATGCCGACAATTATAGTCGTGATGATTTCTTTATTTTTGTGTTGCCATCAGCTTGCTCTTGAAATCAAGAATCAAATTGTTGACATTTGATAAAATATTCTATGACACTGTTAAATGAAAAATAGACGCTTTTACAAATGTAGAAGTACATGGCTTATGAGTGTGTTTGTAACGCTATATGTAATGTAATGTATATGTGATGTAATGTGCAAAATATCTCGCGAGATGAATAAAATTTAAAATATTAGATAATATTAGAGATAATAGATAGAGATACATAATATTAAATATTAACTAATTTTAATAATAAGATCATGGTTTAACTAGTTGCACATAGTTTAGCAGTTGTATATATGTATACAATTTCAGATGAGCATTATATATTAGAATTTATCGGCAAATACTTGGTCCATTTTATGAGATATTTCACGTGCTGGGATGGACATCAATACATGAGATTGTTTATGTTTTATATATAACAATTTGGCAGAAAATTTACACGATCAGTATATCTTTATAAGGAATAATAAATAATTAAATGGTCATATAAATATTTATCATTATCCCTTATTTTATTAAATTAAGACTTGACTGAAATCGATCTCATTTTACATTCCTTAACATCTGTACAGCATTTAAAGTACATTTTAAAATCTCTCCTTGTACTCGAAACTTGAAAAATATATTTTAGTAATTAAAATTTTCACTGTATAATTGCACAATTTGTAAGAATCGTCGATATCTCTATACAACAATAGAATAGAAAGATATCAATTTATCTTGTCCAAGTCCGTTATCTTATCAGTAAAAAGATTAAATGTCTCATTGTGTTTGTACAGTTTTTACAAAAATTTACACATATTTAAGAGAGGTATATAAGTTTTATTGTTATAACTATATATAATTATAAACGATATACATATATATA